GTTTACAGCTTTATGCTTACGATGATCTTGGTAATCGAGGTGATATTATAGAAATCAAATTTAAAGCAGATACTCAACCACCTGAAATGGGATATTTAGAATCATCTTTAGAACTAAATTGTGGATCCTCGACCAATTGTTAAATATATCGATATTCAAATAAATCCATGTTTAATATTACGTAAATGGATTGCGATTGATCATGTGGGTAATGAAAAATTATTTAATCAAACAATTCAATTTATTTCAAATATCGTCAAACATTATCCAAATGAAATATCAATTCCTTGTGTAACAAATCAACAGGTTATTGATGATTTGAACTTTTATAAAGGCTTTATAAGCATCGAAAATAATTTATGCAATGAAACTTTAAATTTAATTTTGGATTATTCGAATATTGGTCTAATAACTGGTCAAGGAGATTGTGACTTTAGTTTTACAGTGAAATGGCAAATAAAAGGTAATTGCATGATGAATCATGAAAGTTTAACGCAAAAAGTGGTTGTGGGCATTAGACAAATACCATATTCACCAAATCATTTACAAGTAGGTGTTAATCCAAATAAAGTTTTTTTTAAGTGGCCATTAGATCGTAATTCCAAGTTCCATGAACTAAATATTCTAAAATCTAATCGTGATCAATTAACACGGATTAATTTCACAAATTCAAATTATTTTGTTTATGAACACAGTTTAGATCAAGATAGTCTATATTATTGGAATGTTATTTACTATGACTCAACAAATGTAACAATTAAACGATCTAGTCCGTTTTGGGAATTCAAAACGAAGTCCTTAGCTGATTTAGCACTTCTTAATGTACAACCACCACCAACTGCTGTAGAAACCGATACTAATATTCTTATTAGTTGGACAGTCAAAAATGTTGGAAATGCAACAACATCAAGATCATCGTGGCATGATGGAATTTACGGTTCATCTGATGATGAGTTTAGTAGTCAAAAACAATTATTAGGAATTGTTCAACAGCATCGATTTCTAGAACCAAAAGGGCAGTATAGTGCAGAATTCAGTTTGAAATTAGATGAACGCTATATAGCTAAAGCGTATTATATTTTTGTAAAGGTTGATGACAAGCAGACGTTGGAAGATTCTGACTACTCAAATAACTTTTTTTCACAAGGAAAAGTAATAGAAGTAAAACAAATTCCCCTGCCAAATTTAATTCCTGCTGTTGTTATATTAAATCCAGATATTGGTACAGCTGGAGAAGAATTAGAAATACAAATAAATATCAACAATAGAGGCGAAGGTTACACTAAAATCAATAGTGTATGGACTGATTTAGTCGAATTATATTTAATTACCGATCAAACAAATTTTAGAAAGATTTTTCAATTTTCTGTGAACAGAAATGGATTTTTCAACACATCCTATATCATAAAAAATAAAATTACTTTACCACTAAGATATTTTGGAAATGCAAGTTTACTCGTTACTGCAAATAAATACGATACACTTTATGAATCAAGTTTGACTGATAATACACTTTCAAAACCTTTTATCATTACACCACCTCTTACAGCAGAACTAAAAATTATAGATTATACAAAAAGCATGAATGTTAAAACAGGAGAAGTTCTTAATGTTATGTATGAAGTGAAAAACAATGGTGATGCAGATACAAATGAAAATAGATGGTTTGATTACATCAGAATAATTTCTACAAAAGATAACAAAGAAGTGCTATCCAAGAAACTAGGTGTTTCAGGTGAGTGTGTGTTTCGTAAATTTGTTTTTATTTTTTAAACTATATGATATGGCCAGCTAATGGTCACCTACAAATCAAAAGGTTCGTCTATAAAACCAAGGAAAACTGAATGAACTATTTGAAAGAGCTCGGTCGATAGTATACAAAACTGATGTCGAACTTGTTCAAAAACGTCCTGTAGAGGCTGTGACCAGCGCCATTTTTATTTGATCATTAACAGAGTAAAAATTAGCAGCAATTCACTTTAAACCCCTTCTCAGAATAAAAGACCTCCCTACAATAGAAGACCATCCCTGATTAAAAGACCAGCCTAAAGCTTATGGCGTAAAAGCCATAATAGTAGACTACCTTTATTATGAGATCACTACTGTTTTGAGTAAGTGTGCATTAAATAAGTGTAAATGAAATTATAACCCTTATTGTATTCTATTCACCTTTTTTTATCTTTTTCTGTCCTTAAGTTAGCCAAGGCGAATTTAAAATCTGCCTGAATATTAATATAACGTGTAACATATGCATATATCGAACGTTTTCAGCTTTGACGAAGACTGAAAAATGGTGTTTGGTTTTGTACGAGATATTAGTGTATCATTCCTTAATACAGAAAGCTTTCCTTCATCAAATGAAGTGAGAAATATTCTGTTCTATATAACACGCATGCTTGGCAGGCTAAAAGGCCTATTCACATTTTTATGTCGAAACTATATATTTATATGAGACATTTATCACTTTATTCTTCTAGATTGATTAATTTTGCATTTAGTACACTTCTCTCTCACACGATATAATTTTCGCTATAATCGAAATATTTTTGTTTATAATTGGTGGAATTTTTATTAAGAAAAGTACAACTAAAGTAGCGGTTTTAATCATTTATAATTCCCAATGTTTCGATTTATTAAAAAGTCATTGTCAAAGATATACAGAAAACAAAAGATTTTTGTTTAAACTGACTGGTATAATTTATATTTATATACTGTACGATTTTCTCTCTTCAAGTATTTTTCTTTTTACTATCTAACCTTTCTTTTCTAGAAAATAAAATAAAATAGAAAGAAAAGAATTTGTTACACAATTCTGTTCGTCTGTATTTGTATTTCGAGTGTTTGACTACACAGATCGACATTCTGTATCATACTCTGTCCTGAGTCTGGACTCTTGACGACTCTGTTCAGAGTCTGAATTCTGACAACTCTGACCAGGATCTGGACTCTTACTGACTCTCTTCTGACTCTTGTTTGTTCTGTAAGAATCACAAGACAAAAAAAGGAGCACACAATATGCATTCATTCAAAGCCATAGTTTAGAAGTGATTGAGAGAGCGCAGGTTCTTTTTCACGTCGAGTGTTTTGATGCCAGTGTTTTAGAAAATCGTCGGAGGGGTGAAGAGTGTTACTAAACAAAGAAAAGAGCAGTGCAGACCTGTTTAAAAGAGAGTTTCTTACTACTGAGTTCTTTTAAAAACTTGTTTTAGCATTATAAAACGTCAGTTATTTGTTTTAGAGGAAAACTTATTTTGATATGCGGGCTGGCGTCGAAATGCATCCACTGGTGATACTGATGCAATGAAAAATACTTTTGTTCGAACGGAATTCATTGGATGAATATTTGAAATTAGACAGAAAATTAAATATCATTTCACATTCCATTTTCATTTTTTTCGAACTTACTATCGTTATCGAGGTATTCCCAAATTTGCTTTTTAGGTGTCGTTAACTTATGGCGATATACACATGTGCCAACATGCAGATAGTGAATATCTCGATAAATATAGTAAGTTTGAAAAAAACTGAAAATGGGAAGTGAAATGATATTTAATTTTCTCTGTATTTCAAATATTCATGCAATGAATTTCGTTCGAACAAAAGTATTTTTTATTGCATCAGTATCACCAGAGTGGATGCACTTCGCCGCCAGTCCGCATACCATTTTGCAGGTTAAGTTGTCCGTTATCTCTACTGTTTCAATATTTTTTTGAATTAAAATATTTTCGTTTTTGCGTTTATTTTTATCATGTAAAACAAAAATTTGTGGGTTATTGCACTGGGTAAAAGCAAATAAAACGTACAAACGGTGATTCATATCGTGTCAAGAGTTTGTACAGACTTTCAAGATTTTCTCTGTAAGACACTGACCTGAGTTCAAGAGTATTGAAACTCTGTCCTGATTCGGTACCAAGCCTCTTGCCAAGAGTGTCAAGACTGGAAACTCTTGCTAAGAGTCTTGAAATGATATATATAAAGGCCAGACTCTGAACAGAGTCGTCAAGAGTTCAGATTCAGGACAGAGTATGATACAGAATGTTGATCTGTGTATACTAGAACTGCGACAAATAGCGATTTTCTTTTCTTTTCTTTTTTCTTTTCTATTTTCTTTTCTTATTCACGTTATATATTGTGTGTGCTCACGTTGCAATGTACGGTACACATATATAACATACATTAAGACTGTTGTCTGTGTAGAGTGATATCACGTTTCTTTCTTTTCCTTAGTGT